AGAAGGGGTCTGAGTCGGAGTAAGCGTCTGCTTCCTCAATAATCTTTGCTAATTGTTTTTGCTTCCAATTTCTGGCCGCCGCCTTGATCCTTGAAAATTTGATCATAGCGGTTTGAAGGATCCTCATCCCTACATCCACCCATTCCTCAAAGGCGTTAAATAAATTTTTGGCGTTTTTCCAGTCCTCCATTTGCTGTTTGACCCATTGTGGGATACCGGGGTCTTTGAGAATATAGACGTTCAGGCGAAAAGGCGGGCGGCATCTGGTCACTACCTCCTTAGAAACAACCTCCATGACAACAGGGTAGTGGTCTGATATAGAGGAAAATATAACTTCTGACAACATAGTGCGTTTCCAGGGCATACCTCTGGCTAATATCAGATCCAGCCGCCTCTTGGGCCTAGGAGCTCGCACAGAAGGTCGAGGACCTCTCCACGTGAATCCATTTGTCTCTGGGTTCAGTGTTCTATAAACGTCCATCAAGCCTTGAGTCTCCATAAATGAGAGTAGCATCACGACGTCATTTCTAATAGGGGCAAGGGAGGGAGAATCCAATCCCGGGTTCAACACACAATTCCAGTCTCCTAGCATCAAAAAATTCTTTGTGTCCGGAATATATTTTGGAAGGTCAGCAAAAAAACAAGTTCTTTCTGCATAGTTGACTGGGGCATAGACAGTCATGACGGCCCAATCCTCATCTCCAACCGCCAGTTTCACCCAAGCCCATCGTCCTTCCTAATTTGTACAGCTATCGATCACGTCCACTTCAAGATTTATATCCAACAAGCTAGCCACTCCCCCTTTGGTCCCATCCGCTGGGGACCAAATCTAGGGGCCTGCCCACCAGTTTTGGATCTCTGCCAATTTTTGTGGCCCGGTTTTGGTCTCTTGAAGACAAACGATTTGTACATTATTAGTATGTATCCAATGGGAGAGTCTCCCCCTTTTAAATGTAGAATTCTGATCCCCCAAACCTCTAACGTTCCAGCTCGCTAATCTGATCCTATTTGGAAGGACCATCCTTGGGGGCTGGGCCGCTCGGGGATTGGATGCGGGAGACAGGTGCAGTGGACACTATAGAGTGACGACCTTCCGTTTTGGCGAGCTGGTCAATGACAAAGTTGTTATTTTTACCAATTCTCCTTTTTTGGAGGTTATCAACAAAACTCTTGGCCTCTATTGTAGACAAGTTATCCGACTACCTCAACCAATCTGCCACTATTTTGGCTGAGAGATTGGATAACAGACGAATGTTTTGCAGGGTGTCTGATGCGGGGGAAGCCCAGTGGGCTGTCTCTATCCAATAAAGCTTTCAATCATCCCATTTATCCTTATTATTGGTGATATGCAATAAATCGAAGAAGGCAAGCAGCAGGCGTGTTTTTCCTCCTTCAGGTAAGTCAATCAAGTGCCTTGTCATTTTCGGCTCCGGGAGCAGTCCCACTTCCCCTAAGGTTTGCAATATATGAATCTTGACCAAATTGCAAGCCATTACTAGGGAGGGGGAAGTTCTCAGCAGAACCGTTGGCAAGAACAAGACTTCATCCTTTCCTTTCATTGTCAGAAAATGGGCAGCCTGCCCATCGTGGGAACAGATTAAGGGAACGAGGTAATCAGTAATCTGACCCTTAGCCTTGGCTGCCTCCTTTCTCGACAAAGTGCGCATTGGGGCAGCCAACGCCAGGGACCGTTTTGTTGATTTCACAATTTGGTTTCTGTCCCTTTTGAGGGGGGAGCTTCTCACAATCCGTTCTCCTGGCGTTGCTCTCTTTTCCTCTTCCAAACGGGCCTGGACCAACACGCCATAAATTCTGGGTTGTTTGATAGAAGAGAGGATAACATCCTCACTTCGGGAGGACGGCCCCGTCGAACAGAAGGGAGGAGAGATATTAAATAGGCTTGAGAGGGGAGGGATATCCAACACCTCCTTGTATGTAGACTTATATAATCCTTTCTCTCCCAGGACTCCCTCAGAAAACTTTGACAGACCTTCCGCGGGGGAAAATAAATCAGAGTGCTCCTCTTCTTCCTCCTCCCCCTCTTCCGACCCCTTCGCTCCCTCCTCCTCCCTTGGGCGCATCCATGCTCCGTTCCTTCAGACGGTCTGGGGGTACTACCTTCATTTAGATTAAATTTCCTCAACTGAATACCCGGGGTCTCAAGTTCATCTTTTGAGGGACTGATATTGAAAGCTCTATTTCTATATATTGAGCAATCAGTTCGTTTACCTGACGACAGAATGGCCAATGTTACAGCAGCCAGTCATGCTTACTCTGTGGGTTGGGGGGATGGACCAGGAGTAACGAGGCCCGACGTTGGGACAAGATTACCTTTTGGGCTTTTGTCCCAACTGTCACATTTTGCTCCCCGTTCAGCTCATGGCAGTTGTCCCTCCCCACCAACCCTCCCTTATCTTCTCCAGGGTCAGACTGAGCCTGGTTTCCTGACTTGGGTAAGCCCTTTGCCTGAAGGTTATCCCTCTGTCTCTGTACTGGTGTTGAGGCTGCATCCCCTTCGGTGGTTGGTTAAACAACAGTCTCCTTCAAGTTTCTGTTTCCTGGCGACAGAATGGTCAGCGTTACCGCAGCCATTCCTGCTAGCTCTGTGGGTTGGGGGGGTGGACCAGGAGTAACCAGGCCCGGATTTGGGGACAGGGTTACCTTTTGGGCATCTGTCACAACTGTCACGTTTTGCTCCCCATTCGGCTTTTTGCAGTTGTCCCTCTCCCCCAACCCCCCTCATCATTACTAAGGTCAACTTGCTTACCTGGCTTGGGTAAGCTCTTAGCCTGAAGGTCATCAATCTGTCTCTGTACTGATGTTGAGGCTGCGTCCCCTTCGGTGGTTGGTTTAACAGCAGCCTCCTTCAAGGTACTGTCCACTTTCCACTCTTGGACTCCCTTGCGTCCCATCTTACTAGTCTGTTTTTTCGTGGACACTTTTTTCTTTCTCTTAACAGCCTTCAGCATCTGAGACTGGGCGTGCTGGTTAGGATCTTGCTGAGGCTTCTCCAACCGGCCCTTCTCTGTTACCTCTTGTTGATCCTTCTCCTTATCAATCCTCCCTAAGGGAAGTTCAATCTCCATCTGATCATCCTTCTCTCCCTGTTTCTCCGTTCCCCCCTCTCCATTCCCTGTTGGATCTATTTTCTCTCGTTGACCGTCAATAGAGACCCATGGGTCCATAGGGGGGGGTGGCGCTGGGGCCGGGTCAGGGGCCGGAGCAGGTGCAGGAGCGGGAGCAGGGGCCGACACTGGGACCGGATCGGGGTTGGGGGGGGGGGGCAAGGGTTCCTTCTCCGTGGAGACCGTTTTATCATCCCCCTTATGCCCCTCCTTCTCTGTGTCTTTGAATCCTTCCTTTTTGCGTCTCCCCTTTCCCCCCCTCTCCGCTCTCTCTCTTGCCCCTCCTTTGGACCCTCCCTTTGACCCATTATCGGCCTTTATTATAGTATCAGCGTTAGAGCCATCATTATCCTTTTTTTTTCCTTTATCTACATCCCTGTGCTTTTTCTTAGCGGGGCAGGTATCGTCATCTTCTGAGTGGAAATACTGTCGGCACCGAGAGCACCACGGTGTCTGAGCATGCACCACTTCTATCTCTACGTAACCGCCCCTTTCCATATCGATAATCAGGCAGGGTTTGTATCGTAAACGGGCTGTCGGTTCCAAGTCGAATTTCACGTTTATCAATTCCGGGGAGACCGGGTCAGCAAAGGTATCGTACTTTTTGAGGATGTTGCCGAAGGCCTTTTTGACTGATGAGGCCAGGAAGGGAAGGGCAGCGACAGGCACATACAAACATCGAATCCAAAAGAATTTGTATCGTGCGGCCTCCCGCCACTCAAACAACTCCTGTTCATTCATCCATGGCCTAAAAGTCACTGAGTATGTTTTCCCATCCAGCGTAATTTTGTCTTCTTTTTTCCTTAATAACCATGTAGCAATTTCTGGTGCAGAAGCCACATAGGTTATCAGGTTGAAGCCCTTGTTATGGAAAACCCCTCTCTTCGGTGGGGCACTAGTTGCCCCACTCGTAGCCCACCCGTTCTCATACATGCGAATCAATCGGATTTTGACTGACACCGGCAAGGATTTAGACTCTTTCCCGAAAGTCACGGAGACCGCGTTGCCACTGAGCCATTCTTCCTGGATTGCATAGAGATCGGGGTTAACAATTACACGCACGTAGTCCTCCCCCACCTCCACTTGGCCCGGGTTGAGTTCATCTGGGAGAAGGCCTTCATTATAGCACTTTGATAGGATTCCTTGAATCCTTTTCTTCTCCTCTGGGCAGGGCCCCAGGGGAGGATGAGGTATAGAAGCCTCTGCCATGGCCGGTCGGACCGTTGACCGAGAGCAAATCCTAATCAAACCCACACGTTCAAGAGCAGGTGTTAATTAACCTTAAATACCACGCAAAAAGTTAATGAAGTTAACATAAACGGAAAACTACATAAACAAAAGTACCTACTCATGCCACACAATAGATAATAAGCCTCCGTAAACTGGGATATAGCACATGATTTCCCCTTACCCTCCCAAACCGAGGTTGAAGGAGCGAGGTTACCTGAGCACAGCCGGACCGTTCAGGAGGACAATGACCCACCGCCACAACAGAATATCCCCACCGCTTACTCTCTTGAACCCTGTCGGTGCCAGCAAGGGGGAGAAAACTCCCTTCGTATTCCCGACATCCTTAGATATAGCCATGCCTAACCCCACCTCACTAGAGGGGGGGAGGTAGCGGCACGGAATACTCCCTCCTCATTAGACTGACCTGATGCCCGCACTTTCCGATTGACGTTTGTCCGCTCCCCCAGGCCTTTGCACCTGGCCATAAGCGCCGTCTCTGCACCTGGCGCAGAAAACCGTCACTGTACCTGGCCTAGAGACGCCGTCTCAGCGAAATGTCCTTGAAAATGCCGAAAACGACGCCTCGCCCCTCACCATCTCGGTACTTCCGTCCAACCGGTCCGTGCCAGGGCACGGACCGGATGCCGCGGCCCTTCTCCCCCGCCGCCACCGCCTGCGCGCCGCTAACGCATCCTTAACGCCGCTAACGCATCAGTAGCGGACTTTCAGTAGCGTTCGTTTCCCGCCTTCCACTGTCTCACCGTCCGTCCTGCTTCAGTTGTATTTCCCGCCGTCCTGCACGTCGCCGTCCGCCACCTTGCTGCGCTGTCGTTCTGCCCATGGCCTACGTATATGTCGTTGCTGTCGTCATCGTCGTTGTGGCCATCGAGGAGGAGCAGCCCCATCCCGTCACACTGCTATCCCCGACGGTAAGTGTCACCAGCCCCCCCCCCCCCCCCCCCCCCCCCCCCCCCCCCCCTCTC